AAGGAGGTCAGAATTTGAACCAATAACTAAAGGTGTCCCACAAGGATCAATTCTCTCGCCCCTTTTATTCTCCATCTATGTGGCGGACATGCAGAGTTGCCTTGTTCATAGTTCACTACAACAATATGCAGATGATTCACAACTTTATATACCAATCAATCATAGAGATGAAAATCTGGCAGATTGTAACACTAAAATAAATTTGGATAGAATATTTACCTATGCAGATAACCACAACCTTAAAATAAATGCAACAAAATCCCAGTCAATTTTAGTAGACCAGAACGGGCAAGTAAGGGAGCGCCTGCAGAAAAATATGTTAGTTACATTAAATAATGAAACCATCCCCTTTAAATCTGAAGCAAAAAATCTGGGCATAATCATTGACGAAGCAACAAGATTTGAGATCGATACCGAATCCCTAACCTAAATTGTCTACAAGAGTGCAGTTTATTCGGTTATATAAAAGTATAATAAACAAATAATAAGAATTTTTGATGTTTTGGTTTTGGCTGGCAAATTTTAGGCTGTTTTGTCTTGCGAAGTGATTAAAGTGTGTTTTTAGAAATAAATGTGAAGTGAAAATGCGGAAAAATCAATGATATAATTGTTAATTTTTTATTTAATTCGTTCAATTGTGTCCATTTTGATAAAAATATGTAATCTAATAATGTGCAATGTACAATAAATAAATATGTTATTATTATTTTAAATGATTTAATTGAAATTATTTTAATTTTCAGACCCTGGCTGTGTTCGTTTTTGTCACCTTTTTCGTCGATTTGCTCCGAAATTTTGACAGGCACGTGATTTGTAAAGAAACTGTCTGATCCAGTCACGTGCCTATCAAAAATTTCGGAGCAAATCGACGAAAAAGAATGACAAAAACGAACACGGCTCCTGTAAAATAAGATATGAAAAGTACGTTTTATATACATCCATAAGACGTTCCAAATACTTCAATAATGTACGTACATAAAACGTTTTATCCGGTGGAAATTGGACGTACTGTGTACGTACTTAGAATGTACAGTGGATTTTAGAGTACGTACATAAGACGTAAGTTACGTCGACGGTCGACGTATTATGTACGTACTTAAAACGTAAACTGGTTGTTTGGGTAATACCCAAGTCCTTGAAAAAAGATATATTCTCGAGATAGCATTGGCTGATCATATACTGACAATATATTGAAGTCCTGGAGCGCGAAAAATTCCTGGCCATACATTTGCCAGGGTTGAGATCCATTCCAATTCATGCACGCTATGCAAGTCATACTGGAGTTTATCACAATCCTCGGGAGTCCTGATTAAGCAACTTGATTTGAACTCATCTGTAAAAAGCAAGTAGTAACTGCTAGTGAAACACTAAGGTGGGACCCCTATGGAACGCCAGAAGGGACATTCAAGGCCTTTGAGAAAAAATTACCAATTTTAACAAACTATCTGCGCTCACCAATCCCAGACATTGCGAGCTTATTACAAACCTCGGGGAACCCCGTTTAAACGCCTTGGAGAAATCAGTGTAAACAGTATCAATCCGCGAACCCCTCTTCAAGGCCTCCGACAGAAACTCCAAGTGTGTCAGCAGATTCAACTCAGTTGGCCTACGAGGTCTAAAGCCAAACGGTTTGTCAATCAGAACAAGGCCAAGGAGAAGGGACAAAAAGTCACAAACCAAACTCTGAAAATCCATAAGAATTGCACTCAAGACGCTTATAGTATAGGACGATAATCTGTTACAGATGACCTACTGCCCGACTTAAAAATCAGCTTAAGAAAGCTTTCGTTCCAATAATTCGGCAAATAACCAGTTTGGAGGGGAAGATTGAAGATGTGGAAAAGAGGTCTGAACTAGAGATGCCACGAATATTCGGTATTCGGCCTATTCGTCCATTTTTTTTGTATTCGGTTTTCGGCCGAATAATATTATCCGGCCGAATATTTGGCCGAATACCGGAAGTTGAATAATGAAAAAAAACGCACATATTACTCAACAATGTATCTATTTAATAACAAGTCACAATGAATCTAATACTTAAAATCTATCAAATAGGCAACTTTTTATTAATTACTGGTGCCATTTTGATAACTTTTGGCTAAAGATAAACAGTAGTATAAGTAATAACGAAAGCTAATAATGTGTATTGTGACACGATATATTCTCAAGAGTCAAGTGAACCAAATTTCGTCGTTACCGGAGGCGACGCGATGAGAATGAGATATTGACAGTTGAAAATCGACTTTTTTTCAGGTCCTGACCTGTTGTTAACGCATACAACCCACAGATCTGCCGCCCAATATTCGGCGGCAGAATATTCGGCGCTACAAATGAGAGTGCCAAATCACTATTCGTGGCATCTCTAGTCTGAGCAGATTAAAGCTGTAGCTTTAAAGAAATACTGTAGTTACCTCTACCTCATCTGGCCCTAAACCCCTGTAAGTGTCTAGAGATGAAAGTTTGCATGCACGGTTGGCAATTTTTCAAAACTGTATACCTCACTAAGTATGCATCAAGGTTTTGAAAGCCATTTAAGGTCATTTTAACCTAACACTACTTTTTTGCAAGTAAAATTTTAGCCGTCTTAAAAAAAATGAAGGCCTGCAAGGTATCATCCAAGGTCAGCTTAGCCTCAAGAGTTTTATTTTAATTATCTGTATTTACAATCGTGTATATTATTATCCCAGTAAATCTAAAAAAAAAATTAGTACTAAAATACTAATAAGGGACGCCATTTTACAAAAGTGACGATTTTAAGGTCGTCCAAAGGTCATAGCGGTCTAAAACTACTTTTTTATTATTCTGCGTCCCCGAAATATAAAGACTAGAGCATAATCATGCTTTTCTACCCAGAGTCAAAATTAAAATTGAAAAATGGACCGCCATTTTGGAAAAATGGCGATTATTTTTAGACCCAGTGAGAAAAGTCGATGGGTCCTCGACTCAAATCGATTAAAATGGTCTACTTAGCAACTGTTTCAAATGTCATGCTTGTATCATCAAATGGCGTTTTTTTCCGCTAAGCAACCGTACTAAAGTTATTTTTTACCATTGAACTACTGATTCTTCTAAAACTCAGAAAAATAGCAGAAGTATGTTTGAAAAGAAATTGCGACACCCTGAAATTTGTTAAACTTTGCACTGTTTTATTGTCCACTCTGTATGTTGTAGATAACGTTTCTGTTCATCAGCACGATACCGTATACCTTGAGCACCAAACAATGCGCCCCAAAATACTTCAAACCGCAATCAAATATCTCTTATACCCACATAACTGAATTGAACAATAAAACAATAATGCTCTATCTAGAACCTACTAAAAATATTATAGTTATATTCTTTTGCTTTTGCTTTGTAGGACTTCCAAGAGAGGGAGCCACGCGCTACTAATGATCTACATCTTGCCTCGCGTTTGAATCACCTTGAAACCTGTTTCTCTCAGTTCGCGTGCTTACCGCGACGAGAGCATAGTAAGCTCGAAACCGGAGCTTTGATTAAACACTTGTGTTTTCCAGAGAAATTTTCCAACAACTCTTTCACTGCCTTTAATATGAAAGGACTGAAAGGAGCATTATTTGGTTGGATGCGAAAATTAACATTCCAAGTATATCCCTAGAAACAAACAAGAATGTTATGTCTAGGATGCATATTGAGAATGATATATGTAGATATATTCTAAGAATATTTCAAGCATATTGGTATAATACTTAACTATAATGTCATAGACACATTCTTTGAATTTCAAGTATATTTTTAGAATCAAACAGGAATATTCTTTTCAGGATGTACTGAGAATCTCATAGGTATATTCTAGGAATATCCTAATGGATTTCCCAGGAAGTTCTTGGGTATTGCAAACAGTATTTCTACAATCTTTTCTCAGAACATTCTCAGGACATTCGCAATGGTTTTGGCGAACATTCTAGGCACATTCCTCCTAAAAAAAGAACATTCTCAGTACATTCTAAGGATGCAATTTTGTTATGTGGGTACTTTCTGAGATATTTGACCTCAAAAATAGGCAAAAAAATTCTTTATGCGAATCGAAGTTCCAGCAGTTTAGTTGGTGATGGAATGGATAGATTAAATAAAAAAATTGAATTTTCACAAATGTTCAAATCGGCTTTTGTCACTATGCCAAATATTTTCTTTTTTATAATAATTATCAAGTTCAATGTAAATGTCGATGTCTCCATATTTAATGGTTTTATCCAGTAAATATTAAACAAAACCTTCTGCAGAACAACATCTAAATCTATAACCTATCACTAATAATAACCTATATAAAATGTTTGACATTAATTCTAAATTTTCATTGATCGGAAAATAAGGATTGATGGCGGGCTTTTCGATTTTCCACAATCTTTTTGATTTGTGTCAAACTGGATTTCATCATCTCCATTGCCATTATGTCTTTGTGTCATTTTCTTTAAAAAAATTGAAAAAAAAATACACATACAAACTTAAAAAAAAAATAGATCATCAGAATTTTCGGTAAACTTTTTTTTTCCTCACAAAATTGAAACAGTAAACGAATATTAAAATAATGCATTTAAATCTTAAATTTATACAAAAAAAAATGGTTCTTCTGATAAAATTATACATTGTAATTATGCTATTTTGTTGTAATAATAGAAACGAAATTTTCCAAAATTCAAAGTTATCGATAACAAATGAATCCCTTACTTGGCAGAATGTTACATTTTAACATTTGTTGTGTTGCTATGAATCTTAAATTTATACACAATAAATGGTTGACTTGTGGAGAAATTATACATTGTAGTAAAGTTATTTTGCTGCAATAATAAGAACGGAATTTTCCATAATTGAGAGTTATCGATACCAAATGAATGCCTCACTTCGCAAGATGATACAAAATAGCTGACTTCGCGCGTGATTGACGTCAATTAATTTGCTACGTTATCAAAAATGAACAGTACTTTTTTCTCCCAATTTTGTATTTATATGGGAGACCAGTTTATTGTGTTACAGTTAATTCACATAGTGTCTCAAGTTAACATTTCAATTATTGAAAAATGGCCAATACACCCTGCACATTAGTCATCATGACGGGAGACAAAATACACTTCCCTAACAGTGACGTTTTGGTCGTAGTCAAAGAACTATTCCAGTGAGTTTTAATTTTATTTTTTTTTTCTATTTTTTTTTTAACAGTAAAATTGTACACGTTGGCTTTATTTTTTCTTCAGATACGGTGTGAAGGAAATACTTGAGCGGGATGGTAAAGTGTATGTCCATTTGACATATTCACCAAAAGCCATTACGTTGAAGCGTAAATTTGGAAATCTCCCGCTACGGTATATGCGAACCAAAATTAACAATGAAAAAGATTTCAAGATTTTGGAGAAAGTAGTCAAAAGATACAGGTTTAACCTGTTGGATGAGGAACCCGACGACACAGCTGTTATGGTACAACAACAACAACGACAAGGGATGAAGGGAAAGTTCAACATCGACGAAATTTATCTGTCTTCTTCGGATGAGGACAATGCTACTGCGGCTGCTGATGAAAAATCGAAAAAAACAAGACTGTTGCAGATTTATCATTCTTATCGGACGCGGCGGCAACGTTGGACAAACCTGGGACTAGCTCCAGCAGTCACTAGTGAGTGTGTTTTTTTTATTGTTAAATAAATGTAATAATAAAAGACTTGGAAATATATTTTAATGCATTTTATTCACAAACCAATTATTCAATAAGAAAAATTACATTTATTGATAGAGTGCATAGCGATTTGTCCTGCTGGAAGCGCTTCTGAGAGTACTTTTATGTGAATAAACGCGTCCTGCGAGCAGGACTTGACTCGGCCTATTAATTTGTCCTGTAGAGCACGTCCTGATGGCAGTACGCGCTGGTTCCAGAAGTACTTATAATTGAAAAGTGTTGCAGATCTATTATGGCACATCTAGGCCATATAATACCGCCAATTATACTTGAACTTTGTTAAAATTAAAATATACTTGATTTTTCCCACCAATTAAGTATATTATGTGTAATTATCTTTTCCTAAATTTTGGTTATTGAAATTCCCAAGCCTATTTTATATTTTAACAGATTTTGTAAAATGACTGCAGCAATCTAAATGGAAAAATCAAAGACATATTTTTGAAAAAATCAGTTGTTTATTATGTAGTTACTTGAAAGAAATGAAATAAACTACACTGGGTTACAAAGTCAAATGAAAAATAAATATTCAACAAAAAAAATCAAACTAAAACTAAGAGAAAACGAAACGTTTGTTTGCTATTTATTTAGTATTATTTCAATTAGGTATCATTGATTTGTAAATCTGGTCGAAAACCAAGATAGCAGGCCCAATTAAAATCGAAATATGTGGCTAAAACGGCCACACGCGTCCCAATAGGTATCATTTTTACCCGAGTCAAGATAGTTCAAATTTTGGGTGAAGCTAGACAAAAATAATATAAAGCTAATTTTTGGTACCTATGTATCATAATTTAGGGCTAAATGTTAATATACTAAAAGTCCTGGAGAATCCTCCTTCCGCAACCTCCTTTTTTCGCCCCCCAAACCCTCCTTTTAATATTTTGGTGATTTTCTAGAAAACTATCCACTTTAAGAAAAATTTCAGATTGATTGTGTAGTCAGATTGTATTGTTGTAGAATGAATGTAGACAATAAAAACCGAACATTACATGCACCCATTAAAAAAGTGATATAGTGTCAAGTGTTTCACAACGCCTTAAATCAGACAAGAGAAGTGTTTTAAAGTGTCTTTTAACATCGCTTGTACTTTAATTTTGATAAATGTTCTATCCGGCAACATCGCACAATGAAAGTGCAAAGGAATATGACAAGTACATAACTTTAAACAACACTGCGGTGAGTTCAGAAGTGATAAAGTAAAATATTAGTTCGCTTTTTGTCGGATTACACGTTACAAAGAAAGAAGGAACGATTTCTTCGGAACTCGCCCCTGGAATCGGACTCTGTTACGGATAGAGATCGTTATCATTATCGCTATGGCACTTCCTGTTTCTCTCTTTCCGAAATCAAAGTATAGACAGGGGACGTCAATAGAAATAGAGAAAATGTCTCTATGCGTTACAGAGTCCCAACCCTGAATGTAAATATGACGCAAATACGTGACAAACTCGCTTCCCATTGGACTCTGCTGCACAAGCGCAGTCAAGATAAAAAAGATACTGTTTGTTTCAGGAGGGTTTGTAATTTTGCCTTCCTTTTTTAACGAATAGAAATTGACTGAAACAATTTAATGACGTCAAAAACGTTCGTCGGTTTTTAAATCAGAAGTCATTCAATAGGTACAATTCAAAATCTGAACGCTATTGAATTTATATGGATCAATCTACGACAAACCTTTTTTTCCAAGTTATGTCATATCGATGACAACCTTTCGTGAAATGAACCTTACCTACCTCAACGTCGCGCAAGGCGTTAGGCGCACCTGTTATTTGGCAAATTGATAGCTGAGAAGTCTCGGATAAACTTCAATTTTTTTTTTTTTGGCTGAAGTGATTGCGATAAACTTCCTATAGATTCGCAAGTAGACTACCTCTCGATGGTCGTTTCAGAGAAAAATATGTTTCTTCTAAAAAAATATGCTTAGATCATAAAAACTGGGAATAAATAGCAAACAGTATATTTTTCAAAAGTAACCCTTTATTTGATACGCCACGATGTGGCACTATATGAGCTCACAATACTTCAAAAAAGCTCTCTTGACATTTTTCTTTAAAGTGTATTTTTTCGAGAAAATCATCAAAATATTAAAAAGGTGGGGGTTAGGGGGCGAAAAAAGCGAGTTGCGGAAGGAGGATTGGCAAGGACTTTTAGTATGTTGCAATTTAGCCCTCAGGCATGATCTCTACCAAAAATCAGCTTTATATTATTTTTGTCTAGGTCAAATGCTATCTTGACTCGGGTATTTCATGACTAAAATGGCAAGAATTTGATAATGGGCTCTTTCACTAAAATTTAAATACGTAATTTAAGTATAAAATCCCAAAGGAGGGACTATTTCAGGCATATATACCAAAAAAAAATGTTCTACAAGGTTAAATAAGTTTTTTACAGGCATTTTAAACTACCAAAATTTAAATTAATTAAAAACGCGCCGATTTGCTGACGTCGCATAAATATTTTTCATTTCGCTTGTTGTTGCAAAGAGCTGTCCGGCTCGGCTGTATTTACCCTGTAGTAAATGGTAAAGGTTCGAATGCGCTGTTGTCGGTGGTGACTAAATGTAGTGCAACGTAAAATAAATTAATAAAACTAAACATAAATAATTATATTAAATTGTGTTTAAGCATAATTTCAATAAAAATGTTATAAAATCTTGAATCCATAACTAATTAATTTAACTACTTTTCATGATATTTTGCGAACATTTCAGAATTAAATCTATTACAAATTTTCAATGTTGACAATTAGTGGCAACACGGTCAAATTGCGAGCTGCGACGTCATAGAAATAAATTCTGGGTTTTTATTTGGAGGTATTTCTTTTTTTTCTGTTTTCTCAAGAAGGACTATGAATTTTCCAAAAGTAAAAATACAGAAAATTCTGTTTTCAGTTGCTTTATCCAAATATGCCACTTTCAAAAATTAGTGAAAGAGCCCATTACTCGGTAACGGTGAGCAATAGGACTGTGATCAAAAAATGCGCTGAAAGTTCAAGATTTTCTCTATTTACTAGAATGTCTAAAAGTCCTTCTAGCAGGTCTCTTAATCCTCAAATGTTTTTGTCCTGCTGGCAGTACGCTATGCATTCTATCAATAAAATAAGCCAGCGGTTATTAATTATTTGGCACAGGTGAGGGGAGGACAGTGAGGGTGACATCTAGTGCCTCAGTACCCTAGAAGTAGTTTCCAAGGGGGTAGTGTCCCAGTATCCCGCATCCTATACTACTCTTGATGGTAATAATACTCTGCATGTTATGGGAATGATTAAGATTTTTACTCTAAAAGAAGCTGTTATTTATGATGACCGCATACAAAATGTACAACGAAACCAAGTGCCAATCTCTTACACGCAAATCACGGTAACGTTCTGCATTCATACTTTCTCTCATTAAAATTACCAGTTCAGTCTCCCCCCCCTCCAAACTGTCACGCGACCACCACCAAAAGCCTCTCTTACTTCCATGCATTCTTCTCTATGTCTCTCACCCGTTTCTCTACATACTAATACACGTCCGTCATTCTGATACAACGTGAATCTGCATTCATCCACAAACAAACATCCCTACCAATCAGCTACGCCCCAGTGTCTATGCATATTAGTCCAGTTTATTCGTGATCTTCCATGGACTGCTTTTAATAATGGACATACTGCTCGCCTTCTGGCTCTTAAATTTCTCTCAGTCAGTGTAAACCGCCATTTTATTTTTCATAAAATTGTGCGACTTTGCCCTAATTTAACCGACCTCGTATCTTTTATAATAACCGAGATCCCGCTGGTTAGAAAAAGAGACACACTGTATATTTTTGTATGACCCTGTATAATATGTTCTAAGGTGTGTTTCCACGTGCGCCATAATTGTAGTGTTTGTTTCGAAAACAAATAATGACGTCAAAAGCTATATTTGATATAAAATCGCATAACTCCTGATAAAATCGTAGTGGGCTGCGATATTCAAAAAATCTCAAAAACGTCCTACTTAACACCCTTCCTCCAGCAGAATAAGGTGAACCCAAACTTTCGCAAAAAATTCGCCAACTAATGTTTCACCCTGTATCTTTTAGTTTTTGTTTGAACAAAATCGGCCTGCTAGATTTTGAGTTATAGTCTTACAAAAAGGGACCAAAAATTGGGGTGTTCTAGTTCGATTGATGCGTAGTTTAGTTGAATGGCTTACACTTAATGATCCCTTTCAAAAAATACAACAATTGGTATCATTAGCATCTGGAATTATTGCAAATACCATTAATTGTTATGAAGCTCAAGAAATCGGATTACAATCTATGGTGGAAATAACTGGCTTGAAGTTTAATGAAATAAGTTTAATCGCGCCGATAAGATTTTACCGCTTTCAGCTGTTAACAAATCAGTAAAAATTAAGGATTGTAAAGTCTCTGTAGATCCATTGTTACTCTTCCAGAGGATAACTGTAACCAAACAGTTTGAAAATAATCTCGAAGGGTACCATCAATATGGACTAAGTCCGTATCCGACGTCATTATTAGATGATAATGGCATGAGAAAAACCACGAAAGCTACATTATATGATAGTATGACACCTATTGATATCGAACTTGAGAGGAATGTGACGTATATCATCGATGGTGGATTTCTTCTGCATCGCGTCGTATGGAGTAAGGACGATACGTTTTCCGTTGTTATGGATAAATACGTTAGGTATTTACAATGGCATTAAGTATGGGTCCAATCCTGATTTTGTATTTGACGGATACTCGGACTACACTAAAAACATAAAAGCAATGCAACTAAGAAGAACTGCTGGTCTTTCGAAGTCGCGTTGTTTTTAGTAATTAGGGGCTAGTTTTGGCCTAACTAGATAATTTTTTTCAACTCCAGTGGCGTTAGGGGGGGCAATTTAATAAAATTTATTGACGAAAAAATGTACGCCACTGACTTTAATTTAATTTCGATTTTTCTTCCAGATGAATCAACTAAAACTGCAACTTTTTTGTCTCTTAAATTTTTCTCGTATCTTGCTTCGTTTACAAAATAAAAAATGAAAACTATTTTCTTGCTTGTCCATTATGATACAAAAACATTACAAAAACTGTTCAAAGTGACCACCCCCGGCGTGGATGCAGGAATTCAATCTTCTCCTCATTGACTGGCGAACTCTCTCAAAAATACCAGGGTCATTTCTAATTGAGTTACACCCACCAATGATTTGAGCTCTTAGGTCTAATCTTTACCACCCTGTATCTTGCAAAAAATGCATTTCTGGACCTATGTTTATGGGAACTTTTTTCCATAAAATGACCTGAGGAATCACCCCCTCAAATATTGCCGTGTCTTTTTTAAACACCCTGTATATTCACAGCACTATATCCTAGGAATGCGTTGGCAACAAATTTGACCTTGTTGGTAGTCCTTCGAGAGCTCTTGATGCATCACTATAAGAAGATCCACTGTAAGAATTGACGTATTTGCGAACAACGGTGGGTGTTTAATTTTACTAGACGGTTATTTTGTGTAGTATAGGAAGAAAGCTCTTTTCTTAGGGTAGGTACCTTTTCCCCATAAAACGAAATTATTAGTTAAAACCCTTCAATTGTTCATGTAGTCACAATGGCGACGAATGCTCTTGGGGCAGAATGGGGAGAGGCATCAGAACGGGGTAAACCACCACCCGCTCCATGTATATGTTGAACTGCTAAACTTCATTGTAGATTTTGTTTAATGATGTAAACTGTTTCAAATACATTGTAGATGGTAGCTATAGAACTACTTCGTATTAAACAACATTCAACCATTATCATCCTGAATAAATTATTTTTTTAGATGGTTCGAATATACGTAAGAAAAACGGAACGACAGCAATGGTCTTCGGAGTCAATACATCAGTTAGGAGTTAGAGTTAGTGATCGATAAAGAGTGTTGACTAAGTTTTTAACGACTATTCGATTTTTCCTCACAGGTACCCCAATGTACCACATAGGTGGGGCACAACGGGGAGTTGTGCAGATTTTGTCATAAAAGTAAATAGCAAAATACGGAGAAGGAAATAATGAAATATCTTTGTACTAATCATTAACAATAACAACAAATAATGTTTTCAAGAAAAAGTTTGAGGATCTGTAGGTAAATTTTCTCAAAAAAAAAATTCAAACACTAAATACCCCGTTCTACCCCAGGTTCCCCTACTCGTTTTATTTCTTAATTGAAGTTCTACTTTAAATAAATCAATATCAAAATCCAAAATACCTATACAATACGTATTTCATTTAATGACTCTTTAATTAGACGCAGTAGGTAAGTAGGATGATTTGCTGGCTCAATATCCCCAAGGATAAGGCCAAGAAACGGAGAAGAAGTATGATCAAATAAATATATTAGATATCTATATGTAAAGTGTTATTAAATTCAATGTATTTACTAGTGAATAATACAAATTATTCATTGTTAATGATATGTATGATGATTTAAAAACTGTATTTTCCGAGAATAACAGACCTTGGATTGCTAAGCGCTGCGCGGTTACCGCCCTCTAACTCAAAAACGGTTGAGCCCATGAAAAAATGTTCAGGACAAAAGTTTTCGTATAATGATCTACAATTTTTATAATAGATGTTAAAATCATTTTTTTTTTTTTTTACGGATATGCGCACTCGCAAGGAAATGTCCTATCACGCTCGAGAAGCGGCAAGTGCGCGGAAATGTCGGTGTATGTTGGTCTTGAAACGGTTCAGGTTGTAACCTGCAGGGAAAACCGTCGCAGGGAGTTTATTCCACAGCGATGCTGTTCTCCAGAGATATGAATTCTGATATAATGAGGTTCTTGGTGCCTCTAGTTTGACAGTAAATTCATGGTTACCGTCTGTTTGACGGGTTCGCCTGGTAGGTGCTACTCTCGGTGGAATCATACGTGCCAACTCTTCAGAGCATTTTCCGTGATAGTACCTGTAGAAGAGAGATAAATCGCCCACAGATCTGCGATGTTCGAGACCATCCAAGTTACGAGTAAGTGCGGGGTCATTGATCAGCTTGATAGCTCGTTTTTGCACGGTATTCAAAAGCATTAAGGTATGTTTGAGTGCTGCACTCCATATATGTGAGCAGTACTCCATAGTTGGTCGAATCTGGGCTTTGTAGAGTGTCAGCAATTGGCTTGGTGTGTACAGATGTCTTGTACGAAATAGCACCCCCAGCTTTTGGGAGGCCCTTTTAGCAATATCTGCCACGTGACTGTGCCAAGACATGTTGGTCTCTGCAGTAACCCCCAAGATGTTCAACTGACTCTGTAATGTGACAGCACTTCCAGATAGCATGATGTTTGGCTCACCGGTGCTGGTCTTTTTTGAAAACAGAGCTGCTTGGGTTTTCTGCGCGTTGAACTGTACAAGGTTTTTGTTACCCCAGTCCTCTATTATCTCCAGGTCATTATTTATCTGCGATATTTGAGTTAGTCTAAGATGATGGAATTCACGTGCGGAAAGACCTGTGGGTGGTATGAGTGAGGAGACTACATTGCCATCGTCTGCAAAGCAATAAAGTGGATTTACTGTTTTATCTATGAGGTCATTTATGTAAATCAGGAAAAGAGTTGGCGAGAGGATTGCTCCCTGTGGCACACCAGCATTTATTTGGTAAGAGTTGGAGTTCTGGCCATCCAGTGCAACATAAATGGATCTGTCCTTTAGGTAACTTTCAAACCAAGTGCAAAGTTTCGGCGATAATCCCATTGCTTTGAGCTTATTGAGCAGATTTTCATGCCAAACTTTGTCGAATGCTTTAGATATATCTAAGGCAATTGTTCTTGTTTCACCCCGCAACTCAATCGCTTTTTGCCATAAGTGAGTGACGTATGTAAGTAAATCGCCAGTTGACCTATATTTTCGAAATCCGTATTGCTTATCGTTGATAATTTTGTACTTTTCCAAGTACTTGGTTAGGTGATTGTTCACAACTCTTTCCATTACTTTTGATATCACCGGAAGTAGAGCAATTGTTCTATAGTTTAACGGATCTGTCTTTTTTCCTTTCTTAGGAATGGGTTGTACTGCGGCAGACTTCCATGATGATGAATATACTCCTTGCCTGTAAGACAAATTGAATAATTTTGCGAAAGTTGGGGTGAGTTCGTTGGCGCAATTTTTGAGTACTATTGCGGGAATGCCATCCGGACCCATTGCTTTGTTTGTATCCAGCTTTTTTAGGGATTTTCGTATTTCTCTGTGACAAAAGGGTACCTCTGGCATACTATGGGAAACCCTTTCAATGAACGGTGGAGTTTTTCCATTTGGCACTGTTAGGTTGGAGTTGGAGGAAAACATTTGGGCAAGCATATTGGCTTTTTCCTCTAATGTTGTGGCTAAGTGATTATTTTTATCTGTAAGTGGTGGTATGGATGACTTGGTGAAGTTAGATCCAACAGCTTTTGCAAGAGACCAAAAAGACCTAGAACTACTTGGACAATTCAGCAACCTGTTTTTTATTCTTTGATTGTATGTTTCTTTAGCGGAGTCAATAGTAATTTTGCAACTATTTCTGGCTTCTATAAATTCTGTGTGGTTTTGAGCGGTTTGTTGTCGTTTCCAAAGGTTATATGCTCTGTGTTTTTTCTGTACAGCCGTTTGACACTGGCTGTTGAACCAAGGTTTTGCATTAGCTCTACGTTTAGTTGTATGTGGGATATATGCGTCCATTCCAGATAAGATTACTTGTGTTATTTCATTACAGCAAATAGTGGGATCAGCTGTTTTAAAGCAAACCTCTTGCTATGGAAAATCCAGGTAATACTGTTTTAGGTCATTCCATTTTGCCGATTTATAGTGCCACATTTTACGAGGAAGTGGTTGTAGGCTTGGTGGGATGAGCATTTCGCACTTTGTTATTATAAGTTTATGATCGGACGAACCAAGTGGAGCATCTACTTGAATTGTGTACGAGTCAGGATTGGTGGTTAGGAACAAGTCTAAAAGCGCTGCAAATTCGCCCCTTTCTGAGATACGGGTAGGTTCTTCGACAAGCTGCGTTAGACCACAACTTATGGCAAAAGCTTCTGCTTCTCTGCCTTCGTTATCAGTTTTGTTGTGGTGTTTCAGCCAGGGTATATTGTGGACGTTGAAATCGCCTAAAAAGACAATTTCCGCCTGTGGATAGTTTGACTGTATACTATCACAGCTTTCGGATAATGTCGCGAAAAAGTTTTGGTAATCGGTGTTACTTGGCGGTCGGTAGAGGCAGCAGATAAACTTGGTCGATGACTTTGAGGTGAATTTTAGCCATATGATATCAAGGTTCGCTGGTTCTAGCTTCTCCTCTCGATGACATGAAAGGTCATTTTTAATGTACACACAGATCCCAAAATTATGTCGAAATCGGTGGTGTAGGTCATAGCCGAGATAAAGATAGTTCACAATAGGTGTTGCAGAACTGATTTTAGTTTCAGTGAGAACAAGGATGTCAGGTCTTTGTTCTTCAAGATGTTGGTGAACTGAATTCATATTTGTACTTATTCCTCTTATAATGCTAAAATCAATTCTGAGTTGAGTTTTTGATCTTCTCTTTATATCTTTGCATGAAGGACCCCCAGGATCACCCGACGCCCGGAGATCCGAGTGGTCGGGTATTTTACCTCCGGAATATTTTGATCCTGGAGGCGCCATCATGCTATCTGTTACTCATTGTTGGAACCGGACTGCCAGCGCAGTAGCGGAACGTGGTGATACCACTTAGCGCTACTCAATTCTGGCATGGTGGTATCTCACCGGTCGACGCCCAATGAGTAAAAAGCGTCTACCACACATTGGACCTATAGAAACCAAGATAATCGCGAAAAACCGATTTTTGTGACCTTTGACCTGACATAACTTTCGATACGCACACGTGATTTTATTAGACTTTATTTGTATTCTATACAAAATTCAAATTTATTGAAAACAGCGTCGTAGAGCACTTTCGCAATCATCAGTAGATACTACTTGTCAGGTTCCGAAACAGAAGTTAAAATTGTAAAAGGACAACGAGGACGAGGATAAAAAATCACGACACGACGAGAAATACAGATTTGTACCCGATAAAAGGTCACAAACAATAAAAAACTTTTTTGAGAAATCTAAAATTAGTTTAAAAAATTATTCTCTAGAGGACGCCGCCAGAGAGTCAAGATTTTAAATAGAAATTTAGTATTTTATTTCATATTAATTGCGAATAATAAAATGTTCTTTCAAAAGATTTTTTCCAACTCAATGTTTCTGACTCTAGGCGTTCATCGAATTCAATGAATGTAATGTTTTTTATCCTGGTCGTCGTTGTCCTTTCACAATTTTAACCTCTGTGTAGGAAGCTGACAAGTAGTAGGTAGGTACTAATTTCCAATAAATTTGAATTTTGCATGGAATACATTAATACAAATTGTTTCCTTCCTCACCTCACTAATTTAAACACATGCCAGCAGCTTTTTTACTTACATAATTAGCAATTCCAATCCCACACATATCGGATTATATGAGTATTAATATTAACTTTGAGAAATAAAATTTCACATACAAAGCCCTCCTATTGAAACAAGCCTCTGAATCTTAAGTAATCCGAATTAATTTTTGTGCATAATACTGTTTGACTTCACCCTGTATTGACTAAGAAAATACATGGTTGCTGTGGTTCCTGATCTTTGGTTGCTATGGTGTAACTCACAGATGTGTAGCCATGTATAACTAACCAGTTGTTTACGCGTTTATTTATCATTGTCAAAAACTCTCGTCCTTTTTCAAGTCATTTTGGTGATTTAAATCGATAGAAATGAGTTCAGACGACGAAACGAATGAAAATATCACTGATGGGGTTCCAGCAGGCATACTTCAAGCTGCAGAAAATGTGAAAAACGAGTTAGTACCCGATAAGTCGAAAAAAAGGTATAAAAAAGAATACGCATCCTTCCTCAAATGGTGCATAATTCACAAAAATACCAATTTTCAAAAAGAGGAAGTTTTTCTTGCTTACTTTTCCGAATTGTTAAGATTTTGCCAACCGTCCACACTATGGTCTAAATATTAAATGCTAAAATGCACGCTGAAACTACAGAAAAATGTCGACATTAGCATGCATTTCAAGCTTATTGCTTTCCTCAAAAAAAAAATGGTCGGCTTTCGACCGAAAAAATCAAAGATTTTGAGTATGGATAACATTGAAATTTTTTTAAACAACTCTCCAGATAATATTTATCTCCTGATTAAAGTTGCAACCATTTTTGGTCTGGCTGGAGCCTGCAGGAGGGAAGAGTTAACCAATCTGTTGTTCGAAAACGTAAAACTGGAAGTGTCACTAGTTTTGGTCAAAATAGCAGATAACAAAACACACACCAGCCGAAGCTTTGTGATAACCGAAAAGAAAAATATATACCTTGTACGAAACTATGTTCTTCTTAGACCAAAGCATACTCCACACCAACGGTTTTTCGTCCAATATCGAAATGGAGAATGCACTACCCAGTGTGTGGTGGTCATCCACGAGAACTTATATATATATGTCGCTTGAGAGAAACAGATTCTGGTACAACAAGCAACCCTCCCGAACCCACTGATGAAATGGACTTCGAAAAACAACTGCAATCAACTGAAGTCATTATACCGTTGCAGCAAATGCCAGCATCTCTACAACTGCCCTCGCTGCCGCCGCCGTTGACCAATCATCAGCTAGCGTCCGCTTTAAATTTAAGTAGTGCAATTGCAATTTTACTATCAACTATAATATAAATAATAAGTAAATGTAGATGAAACTGGAATACAAATCTTTGATGAATGTATATTTTCCTCACGCTCGAAGAAAAACTATCGTACCTAACACTTGCGGAAAATATTTTTCCGTACTTGTTAGGTAAATAGCTATTTTAGGCGAGGAAATATGAAATTTATAAATTTTTTTTTGTTTCAAGTAATTAATCTACTTACAAATCCAAGTTTCTCGACAGCTTCTGAAAAAAACAATTGTCTAGGACTCGTTGGCTGGTACTGGTAGACATTGTTGTCGTTATTTCTTGTTTAATCTGGCTACTCCCACTGCTTGTACTTTGTGGGATGATTAAACGTAGGTAATGGTAAATTTCAATTTATATAGAGCTCACATCAATAGTTATCAAACAAAAAAAAACATGCTTTATCAAAATAACAAAATTAATTTGTGGAAAGTTTCCTATGATAACATTACTTTGTAGCACTGATTAGAAATGATATTCGTTACGTAATATTTTTCCCATGAGCGAAGACGTTAAAAACCCATAAACTCGTAAACTGTCGATTTTACTACTTCAACCAATTTCTTCTCAGGAATCGTAAAAATATTATTTGTTCTTGCAAGCATTAAACTTTAGTCCTTCTAAAAAATAAAAGAAAATAATTAAGTCAACCGACAATACTATAATAATATGGCACATTCACATGTTTTTGTCTTTTCTCTAAGTTCCATTTCTTTTGAACAAATTTCTAGAGACTTCGACCACTAATTGTTTTCTCGATGATACTAGTTATATTGCGTCTTTCGCTAAACTTGAAGTCATTATCAATCATTATGTTGAATACTTGGTAAAAAAAATCTTATCGAGTTACTCTTTTTTAACTTAATTATACTAGATACAAAAATTGATGTGATTCTAATTTGTACAGTTCTTATCAATCGTCAATAATTAATAAATAATAAAGGCAAATTGACCTAGTGACATTGTTATGTTAGCAAAATTCCTGGAAATATTTCAAAAATAGAAAATTTTTATCAATCGAAAAGACATACTTAATTACTAAATTGTTATTGCAAATTGACCTAATGACTTAATTTATTCGTAGCTGACGAGCTGATAATCATCAACAAAATGGGAGCGACACCAACCACTATTGTTCTCTTTTCAGAGGATCGGACAATAATTCTATCTTCAAAATATGTGTATGATGTGGCAGAGCATCTATTCCAGTCCAGTAAGTTTAATTCTATTTATTATTAAAAATGTCAACTTAATTTTAGTTTCAAAATAGTTTCAGTTTGAAAATATCGCACCTCTCGGCGGTTTACGATTGATATTAAATTAGTAGGTACCGTCAATTTTTAATTTTTTTATTTTCTCCTCATATATTTTATAAATTATATCCAGCCACTCCGAAAAGAAAATTTGGCAATCTGCCCCTACGCTATATGTATACGAAAATCGAGGATGAAGAAGAGTTAATTAAACTCTTTGTGAAAAAGTTTAATCTGCTTGATGAGGAATTAGAAGAAGGATACTCCCTGAAGGGAGTAAAAAGAAAAATATTTCTAGACGAAATATTGTTGACTGATACTGATGAGGATGATGAATCGGAGGAATAGCAGAATTTGATGGGAGAGTTGCCTTCAATGAATCAACCATCTGCAACTACTATTAACTAGTCAATATTATGTGAATTTTGTAGAAATAAAAATATAAGCACAATAGGTTATTGTAAAAGTGGTTATTACAGTGAAAATTTTTACTACAGTATTCCACGTTTTTCAATTTGGACATCCCAAACAATCCGTATAACATTTTTATTTATTATATTCCATAGCAAAACATTTTTACTGAAACCTTTAAAGTATTTTCATTTTGAACAATTTCATTTATAAAATATGTAATTTTTTCACAAGGTAAAAAAACTAAAATTGAAACTGTTTAATTTCAATCCATGCAGGCTTTCAGTGGTCCATTTAACTTGTCTCAATCCTTCAGTGAGCCATTTAAAATCCATTGGTAAATTGAGTGTATAGGTACCTTACCAGTGTTTAATCTGAAATTGCAATTTCCTTGCAAACAAAATCTTTGTTTTAACGTTACCATTGCACTTCTAAAATGAACATTTTCTTTTCTCTCTATCATCTTCTGTAATTTAAATGACACGAACTGTGTCGTTCAATGCATTGATTCACTATTTCGTCGATTGCGAAGTGTGGAGAATTAAACAACAAGCTGTAGTGTTAGCTTGAACCGCTTTTTTTGTTTCAAATTCTACACAAATATCAAAAGCACCACCTTTTAGAATGTCTTCATCTTGCCGAGAACATAAAATAACCAGAGGAGCATCTTGTTCAAAATCAATAAGATAGAAGCATGGTGCAGTTTGTCATGATAATAATAGGATTTTCAGAATAGGGAATTTGACCAATTTTTTCTTAAATTTTCGAATTAATTCCTCAAAACGTTTGGAACTGATCTATGCAAACAAAATTTGAATATCTTCAAAATTAGGAAAGTTACACGAGTGAAAAGACTATGTGACGTCATTCCGTAGTATCGCCCTAATCCAATGCGAGTAGAACCGAGACGATAACATCATTTTTAAAAATTCATAAGGATTGCATTTTGATTAGATTTGAAAAATTTGACAAAAATGTCCTTAATCACATCTGTACCTTTCATTTATTTGATTGAGTGACTGGCGTGACTTGGCAGCCAAAAGTTAGCAGCCTGACTCCTGAGTCTACCCGAACAATCTGTGGCGTCGTTTATGTTTTACTTTCATGCATTATACATAGATTTTCTATAAATACGATAAAACTGATTCAGTTATTGAAGGTAAACAAGAAAATACTGCAAATGGTTCCAAAACATGTTTTTGAAGGTAAACAAAGAATTAAAATTATTGAAATATCAATTTTTCACAAACTTACGGAAGTTACTTTCTATATTTTCTTCTCCACCAGGTGGAGTGAAAACTTCTTCTCGATACGATGGACTCATTTTGGAGCAACTTACTCGACTTGCAAATGGTTCCAAGGGTGGTTTTAGTGGGTAAAACCAAAAAATTGAATAATTATAAATATCAATTTTTCGCAAAATTACGTGTCTTGCGATATTTTCTTCACAACCAAATGTGTGACTCTGTTTTCAGGCACCATAGGCACATTCCAGAATACCTTATTTTCTTCACAACCAAATGTATTGCAATCTGTTGTCACCCACCATAGGAACATTTGAGGCCACCTCACTTGACTTTCAAATGGTCCAAGGGAGGTTTTTTGGGGAAATACAGAAAAAAAAAAAAAAAACTAGAAATATCAATTTTTCCCAGGATGAGGTGTCTTACGAAATTTTCTTCACAAACAAATTTATTGGAAACTGTACCTAGGTACCATGACACGTAATTCTGTGAAAAATTGATACTTCTAGTTTTCCAATTTTTTGGTTTCACACCCGGAAACCACTCTTGGACCCATTAGCAACTCAAGTAAGGTACCCACAAATGCGTCGATGCTGCCTAGGCACAGTTTCCTATACATCTGGTTGTAAAGAAAATGTCGCAAGACACGTAATTCTATGAAAAATTGATATTTCTGATTTTCCAATTATTTTGTTTTACCACCTTAAACCACCCTTGGACCCATTTGCAAGTCAAGTAAGGTAAGAAGCCTTTAAATGTGCCCATGGTGCCTAGGCACAGTTTGCAATACATTTGGTTGTGAAGAAAATGTCGCAAGGCACGTAATTCTAGGAAAAATTGATATTTCTTGTTTTGCAATTTTTTTGTTTTATCCCCAAAAACCACCCTTGGACCCATTTGCAAGTCGAGTGAGGTGCCCTTAAATGTTCCTATGGTACCTGGCAACCGATTGCAATACATTTGGTTGTGAAGAAAATGTCGCAAGGCACGTGATCCTTGGAAAAATTGATATTTCTAGTTTTTCATTTTTTTTTTTTGTTTTACCCCCAAAAACCACCCTTGGACACATTTGCAAGTCAAGTCAAGTGCCCTTGAATGTTCCTATGGTGCCTGGCAGCCGATTGCAATACATTTGGTTGTGAAAAAATGTCGCAAGACACTTAATTCTAGGAAAAATTGATATTTCTAGTTTCTCAATTTACTTGTTCTACCCCCAAAAACCACCCTTGAACCCATTTGTAAGTGAAGTAAGATGCCCTCAAATGTGCCCATGGTGCCTAGGCACAGTTTAGCATGTGGCTGTGAAGAAAATGTCGCAAGACACGTAATTCTGGGAAAAATTCATATTTCTAGTTTTTCAATTTACTTGCTTTACCCCCAAAAACCACCCTTGGACCCATTTGCAAGTCAAGTTAGGTGCCCTTAAATTTGCCCATGTTGCCTAGGCACAGTTTCCAATACATCTGGTTGTGAAGAAAATGTCGCAAGACACGTAATTCTGTGAAAAATTGATATTCCTGAATTTCCAATTACATATTTTGTTTTATTACCGAAAACCACCCTTGGACCCAATTGCAAGACAAATCAGGTACCTACCCTGGTATGTGTCCATGGTGCCTAGGCACAGTAACCAATATATCTGGTCGTGAAGAAAATGTCGCAAGACACATAGTTCTGTGAAAAATTAATATTTCTAGTTTTTTTCAATTTTCTTGTTTAAGCTCCAAAAACCACCCTTGGACTTATCAGCAAGACAAATAAGGTATCCTGGAATGTGCCTGGTGTCTGGTAACAGATTCTAATACATTTGGTTGTGAAGAAAATGTCGCATGACACGTAATTCTGCAAAAAACTGATATTTACAATTTTTCAATTTTTTGGTTTTAACCCCTAAAACCACCCTTGGACCAATTTGCAAGTCAAGTAAGGTGCCCCAAAATGAGTCCATCGTATCTAGAAGACGTTTTCACTCCACCTGGTTGAGAAGAAAATGTGGAAAGTCCAGTCCGTAAGTTTGTGAAAACTTGATATTTCAATAATTTTGATTCTCTGTTTAGCTTCAAAAACATGTTTTGGAACCAATTGCAGTATTTTCTTGTTTACCTTTTACCTTAAATAACTGGATCAGTTTTATCGTATTTATAAAAAATGTATGATGTATGTTTAATAGGTAGGTAAATAAAAATAAAACATAAATGACGCCACTGATTGTTCGGGTAGACTCGGGAGTCAGGCTGCTAACTTTTGGCTGCCAGGTTCACGCCAGTGATTAAGTGCCGGTCTATTCACCTTCTGATAAACTGTCAGGTATGCAATCTGACGGATAAAAACGCAATCTGTAATCCCATTGGTCGACCAATAATCCGCCTACCGATAGGATTATCGAACGGTGAATTTATCTTGCAGATAGTTATCAGCAAGTTTATCTGAAAATGACTAAACCCGACCTAAATCTAACAATTGTTATTTCATCAAAGCTCCCTATTGTGCAGGCATAGATTTAATATAAGTTGAAAAAATAATTGAAGTC